CTGTTGCCCTGGGGTAGAGTGCAGCGGCGTTGTCATATCTCACTGCAACCTCCAACTCCTGGGCTCAAGGGAGCCTCCTGCCTCAGCCTCCCGAATAGCTGGGGCTACAGGTGTGCACCGTGATGTCCAGTTGATTTTTCTATTTTTAGTAGAGATGGGTCTCAGGCTGGTCCCAAACTCCTGAGCTCAAGCAATCCTCCCCCGTCAGCCACCCAGAGTGCTAGGATTACAGGTGTGAGCTACCGTGCCCAGCCCAGGGTGATTTTATATAATGAAAATCTAATCGAGTTCTCACAACTGTTAGCTATGTCCGTGGTAAAGTCTGCCCTCACGAGCCTGGCCCTCTGTCTTCAGGTCCCTGTCCACCCTTCCGACCTCACTTGCCATCACTTCCAAGGCCTGCCCCAGGCTGTAGGCCTCAGCTCAGGGCATCTGCACAAGCTGGCCTCCTTTTCTTCTCACCACCCACACCTGCAGCCCTACATCCAGCCTATTAAGGTCTAGCCACCTTTCATGGCCAGCCTCACATCTCTTCTGGAAAGATGTTCCTAACCTCTCTAACTCCTTTATTTACTCTAGGAATATCTACTAGTTAACATCATTACTTATTTGCCTACCTACCTCCCCTACCAGACTATGAGTTTATTTGAATATCACTGTATACCAAGAGCTAAGAAAAGTGCCTGACACATAGTAGGTGTTCACTAAATTGTTACATTTTGATGAATGAGTCAATGAGCAAAGGGGTTAATGAAAGAAGTGTGATTTTGGTACATGCTCAGGAACATAGGCTTCTCAGTACAACAAACAGGCAAATAAGCGCTTAGTTGTTTGAACGTAGTGAAACATAAAGGCAATTTTCAGTATGAACATGTTTGTGTGTATTGTTGCCGACATATTTAAAGGGGTAATTATGTGTCTAAAGTTAATACATTTCTGTGACTTGCTTTAAAAATTGGTAAAATCTAAAATGTCACAGGAAACTTTTCAGATTTCAAAACAATCCCATTCTCTCACACTAGTTCAGACACAGTGTCAGAGAAGGGGGGACACAGAAGAAAGGAAGGAGAAACAAAGGGAGGGAGAGGATTGAAACGATACAGGGAAAGAACACATCCAAGAGGAAACTCTCCTATGTGGAAAACAGTGTAAAGAACAAATTGCTTAGGCTGTTACTTCAAGAAGAAAGTTCGAACTTGCTTTTTCAAGTTTTAAATTTCTTATTTATGTTGTACAAATGCGGTAGTCAGGTCTTTACTACAGAAATAACATCTCTTGTCTGTGAATTGCATGGACTCTGTTTACATATTCTGGTAGACTTATTTAATTATTGATCAAATGGTAAGATGATGATGATTATGATGGTGATGGTGATGATGATGATACAGGTCTAGGTAGTTAAGGCATCAAGATAAAAATGTTGGCTACAAAATAACTGAGGATTTTATGAAGATATGCAATCTGCTGCCTGATTACAAACTCCTTGATGACAACAGGGTCCCTTTTTGATTCAAATTCATGAAAGCTGGCAGGCACTTCTCAGACTAGCTGGTAATTGAGACTGTAAAATCTAAGATGCGCCTGTGGAAGGATACTGGAGTTTGTGTGCTGGGATAAGGATAAAGTGAAGAACAAGAGAATCAACAAGCCATGACCAGAAACCAGAATTTCAGGACCTGAGGTAGCAGAAGCTGAGCCAAAGTCAGAGACACAGGCCAGAATTTCCCCCTAAAAAGGTTGTGCTAATGTAGCAAATCAGTACCATGCACTAATCAATTAATACAAAACATTTTACTCCTGTTCACAATCAATGCCCCATCCTAGAGTTGATTCTCCAGAATTGAGAAATTATGCCTTTAAGGAGATGGGGTTTTCTGCTCACTAGCTCACAGAAATGAAATCTATTTGAAAGTATCTCTTGTATAGGGTAAATGACATTTTATGTCCTGTGTCTTCCATTTTTAAATGAGACTTGTATCTCTCTCAATTTCTCAACCAAAAGATAAAAAGCAAATTAAACTAATTTCATTTTTATCGATATAATTATTTCAATGCTCCTCAATAGAAAAATAATATTCATATTTGCTTATTAAAATAATTAAAATCACCTAAAAAGATATATTTTTAATATATAATAAACAATGCTTATCCAGAACATTCTGATAAATTAACAGGGTAACTGACCTTTAAAAATGATTAATGTACATTGTTACCATCTAGTAAATTTTACAATAGTCAATAATTCATATTAAACTCATGAATAAGAAATACTCATAAAAGCTGCTATTTCCCATGGGTTTGAGAGATTTCTTCCATAGAACTTAGGATTGGTTATATATGGTATATTTTTCCATTCTCAAAGCTTAACAAAAACATTTTATATAGTGAAAGCATCATAAATAATGTTTAATATGTCTTACCTTATATAATTCAGCCAGAGAAAAATAATATACATTGTCAATACTGGAGATATTTTTAGAAGCTACAATTTGTTTGATGGGAGTGCTCAAGTCAATTTCTATAGTAACTCATTTAACCAACACCTTTTAGAAAATGTTGCTAGATTGATCTGATAAGAATTTATTAAGGGTTAATCTGATTGATTCCATGATGTATAATCAAAAATTCCTCAGGCTATAATAACAGCTTTACTTCCTTTCCTCTTTTATATTTTAATTTCAAATAAATGACAAGAATTATAAGGGTTATCAACCAATATGTTCAGTTGTCATTAAAGTGATCTTCTGGCCTAGTAATGATTCTGAATTCCACATTACTTATAGCTCTAATTTTGTATATAGTAATCATTTCTAAGGTCAATGACATTTTCTGGTTATTTTAAACTAAAGAATTTAAGACAACATACTAGTACTCTTACTCACATATGTTAACAGTGTGTATAAAGCAGTAGAAAGATTCAGAATGTGTGAAAATGGGAAAAGTGTTTTGTGGGACTTTTAGTAGTACATTGATATACTCTTTTTGACAGCAACATCCAAATGGAACAAAAAACATAACGATGTTCAACTTTTAACCCAGTGATCTCACTCTTGAGAAAAAAAATCGAATAGATGAGGAGGAGTTGAATACAGGAGGATATTCCCAGCAGTATTGCATAACATAACAAATAATGAATTACCTCAGTGGACAATAAGAGGGGAAGTAGTGATTAATGCAATAACAATATCTGAAATGAAATCTATGATACAATACCCTTTAAAAATAAAAACAAGACTAGGTAGCAAGAGGGAAAAGCTTGAGATATAATGTTAACAGCTTCCACAATGTAATGAAAATGATATAAAATATATATTCATGTAGACAAGAACCCAGTCATACAAAGATGAAAATAGTTATCACTGTTATAACATTTATTATTAATTTTCAATCTTATTGATATGCCACCTTTTTAATTAAAATATAATAGGAGTTATTTATTAATCATACCTATTTCTTTCCTAAGTTCCAGTAGATGGTGCTACTAAATCCATTTGGAACACTAAAAAGAACACTTTTGTGCATTTTATCAAAGTTAAGTATCCTGATAAATCATGACCACTTTGGCAATTCACAGAATGCTTCAAAAAGGGGTCTAAAAGGAAATGAATTATGAAAGTAAACACACTGAGTAGTTGTTCCTTTTTCTTTTTTTAGGTGTACATTTTGGCTATTATGCCATTCCAACTCATCACTATCGATTTCCTCAATGTTGAACATGTGCTGTAAATTTCTATACCAAATCTTTTAATCCCAATCAGTAGGCTAATTACATGAATCAGATAAGGAAAGTATTAGCGATCCAAAGGCTGAGGTTTCCAAAAAGGAATTAAGGTAAAATCAAAGTAAATTAAAAAAAAGATTTATAGCAAAAGTGATCAACTCAAATGCTACGGTTGTGGCCAGAAGAGAATAGAAATGAGTACAGCAGGCTGGGTCTAATAATAGGGAGTGGTGGGGACTGTGGCTAAGTGCAAAGGTTGCCCTATCTAATAGCAGCAGCCACTACATAGCTCCAACAGGTGTTGACATGCATGAATGCAGCCCTAGGGCTGGCAGATATTCAGAATCTTTCAAAAGAGGCCAGAAATATAGAAGTTCATGTGAAATCTCTTGAGTATTTAACTATTGGTAACTAATTTGAATTTGTTTTAATTTTACATTCTCTATAACAGCCAAATAATAGCTGCCCTTGGGCTTATTTTGTTTCATGGGCTTCCTGTTTGCCACCTCTGACCTATACTTAATATGCAGGGATTCCTTAAAAGGATGATCTTTATTTGCTGGAAGTCACATTTTCTTTATTTCCCATGTGTCACATTTTTGATTTAGGCCTCTTTGTAGGAAAAATAAGAAAAGAGAAAAAAGAAAAAAAGAAAGAAAAATGCAAAACAGTGAAGCTAAGGTAAACTGTGAGCGTGACGGTAAGCACAAACCAATGAGGGCTTGCAAACTACAAGAACGTTATGCTAAGATCTAAATGTTCCCGAGAAGGAAAATCTTAGAGGGTTTTCCTTTTATTTTCTATACAATGATTGAGGAGACTTTCTGAGTCACTACAAAAGGAAATTAGCCCAACAAGCTTGTGCTAAATATGGCTCCCTTTATTGAAATTACATTACACATGATAAGAGAGAAATGAAAAAATCTGACCAAGGCAGAATCGTCATGAGCTCCCAAATTGCAAATAGGATCCAGGTGTGTGTCCTGCATTGCACTTGTTGCTAACTTCCCTTTACCTATCCCATTCCTTCCAACTCTCAGTTTCCATCCTTGCCTGTTAAAAGGAAGTCCCGGAGACTTCTAAGGAATGACGTCTGGCTGTGTGTAAAGGAGGAAACAGGACGCTAAGTGTAAAGGAGTTTTCACTTTAATTGTAGGTATTGACACATCATCACAGTTAGACTCTGCAGATGGGTGGGTGTGAGTGGCTGGAAAGAAGGGGAGAGTTGTCTATTCAACTAGTTATTTGCATCACATGCACCCAAGGAAAAAATGTTTACCTGGTGGAGCCACGGTTAACCTTTTTTCCTTGCTGAGCCGGTGCCCTTGGATGAATTCATTCATGGAAGGGGGGCCCTTCAGAAGAAATGATTCTGTGGAGGTGGGATCAGGGGGGACTCTTAATAAATTCTGTAGGTAGGAGGCCCCTGAAGTCCTGGGACGGCTCTGATCACAAAGGGAAGGTGAAAATTGTCTTGCAGGAGATCCAAGAAAAATACATATAGGAAACAAAAAAGTTTTACTTTAATTACCTTTCAACGCCTCACCAGTGACAACATTATTTATATTGGCATTTAATTTTTTTAATATGTAAATCAAGATTTTTGCTAATTTTTTTTAGTTTCCACATCAGGATACAACCCTATTGGGAAACTGGTCTGGATGCTGGAAAAGAGATTTATTACGGTTAGTCAGTTTGAACCGCAAATAGAAAATATATGTATTATTTGATTCTTTAATGAAAGCTCCTAAAACAAAAAATTTATCATTAACTGAAAATACAGGGTAAGTAACTCAACAGCCAAGACTCTGGAAAAAGGTCATAAAATCAAGCCACTAAAAACCTTGTAAGTGGTTTCTCTGAGCAGTATTCACATGCCAAACAAAAAAGCAAAAAGCACAAAAACCTGCTTTTAAGAAAAGTACTGTATGTATTTCATTCCATTTTATCTAAACATAGACATCCCCTTTCAGCCAGTCATCAGTTTTGGTCATATGGACAAAAGTTCCCCTAAGAGAACATTTTCATATCTTTGCCCCATTAAAGAGAAGCTGGTAAATAGCACCATTTCCAAAGGTACAATGACTTTTCAAATTATAACCCATGTAGAACACAGCTTCGTTCTTAATATCCACCTTTACCTACCAATTTCTAGGTAGGAAGTAAGGGAGAGGCATATTTGCGCATATAAGTAGCAAAAATATTAACAGACACTTGAAAATTACATTATGATTAGGGTGGGGTTGAGTGGGGCAGGGATAGAAAGGGCTAAATAAATATAATTATCAAAAGGTTTTGATCTGGAAAGATCAACATTAGCAAGGCTCATATATATACCAGCTCCCATTTTTTCTTTTCCTTCCCCTCCTCCATCCTCCACAACAAGAGCACATTAAGTTTTGCAGTCAACTAAAATCTGGCCACTGCACCACACTATGAAGATCGCTGCATGCATACCTTTTCCTCTGAGTGCCACTGCTGACCCGAATGTTGGGTGTCTGTGGGCCCTGACTATGCAGGAGGTAAGTGTCTATGGTGGGCACGGTGACTGATGCTTCCCCACTTACTTTAGGGCTGCCGATCTTGCTCTTTCCAAGTTTGCCTTTGCTGCGTCGGGACTGCTCATGGTCAAACTCTAAGTCCTCCAGCCTCTGGGTCAGGGCGAGTTTTTGCTGGATAGCCATTCGTAACAAAGTGTTTAGAGTCTTCTTCTCGTCCTCTGCAGCTGCTAACTGTCTCTGCATCTCATCCAACTGTGTGACATATTCATCACATCTGGAACCCAAAGAGAAAAGTGGTCAGGGGGAAATCTTGGGGAAACTGAATTTGGGATTTAAGTTGAAAAGTAATGAATTTGACTGAAATTTAGATACTTAGGACACTGGTCTTCCTAGCAGTAGAATGGAGATAACCTATAATAGTGGAAAATTGCAAACAGTAGAGCAGGTTCAATAACTGATGATTCATCCATGCAACGAATTACATATGGGGACATTCTTAACCCCAGGGACAGAGTTATTATGGGGGCTGCTCTGTGATGCCAAAATAATGAACAGTCAAGACTCACATAATGTCCACAGTACCTCAGGTGTGTTACAATAACTCCTTTTATTGTATAACATTTTATCCTTTGGAAGAATGGGATAAGTTTGTTATAGCCTATACCTATGGTATCCAAAATAATAATAATGTATGTAAAGAAGACATTTCCTTATCTATATTTATAGATTTGTTTTAATTTAGTACAGATTGCAGCTGCCACTGTTTTCAATATGGCAGATTTGCCTGAATTAGAAAATTCAGTATTTTCAATGATTTTGCAACCAAATGATAAAGCAATGAGTTGTCAAAGAAAACCAAGATTTGCACAGGGTTTGATACAGAAATAGCAGGCTGTCAGAAACATCTTTATTCAGGTTTCATATTTGTACTGTAGCAGGAAGTGATCTGTTTTCCCCACCAAAGGTAAAACCTGAGCACATACACATTTGGAAGGAAGAAGTGAGGAGGAGGAAAAGCTCATTCTGAGTTTTTTCTGAGTTTATTTACCCACTAAGATATTAATAACAAATATTCTTCATGCACCAGCAGATAGTTAATGACTTCATGGAGTTATCCAAAAGGTACTGAACAAACTTTGAAAGCAGCATAAGCCTAGGGTATTTTAAAGAAAAAAAACAGGCTCTGTAGTGAAATAACTTGAGATCCTGGTGGGTCCCCATTTCTTTAACCTTGAATGTTAAGAAGCAAAGTGGGGATATGTAGACCATGAGAAAAATCAGAGCTTAGTAAAATCCAATGTGAATTTCAGGACTCTGTGTTTATCCTAATTAGTCAGATAACAATATTTTAAAAACACTGTGGAGTAAGGCAGTTACTATAACTGAAAAAAAAATGTCTGTGAAAATGGACAATTTGGGGGTGATAATTCCTATATAAACCAGATTGAGACTTTAAAGGTCTCTTTAAAATTTTATTTCCTTCTCAAAGAGGACATTTATATTTTCTTGATTCTCAGTATAATCCTGATTTATTTCATCAAAGGGGGGGGACATTGTGCCCCGTTCCCATTTTTTATCCTGTCTCCCCATAGTGGGCAGAGATCAACTCATTCTATTCCCCAAATGCCACTGTGCTTTGAGACCCAGAAGCCAGTTCCCTTCAGTTCCTCTGCACCCTGTGGGCTCTGGGGCACTTGGTCTTCTTACTGCCAGCTCCAGGAGATTCAATCACAAAGTATGAGCTTTAGCCTCGTCTCTCCTAATATACAAAGAAAGCCGGAAAGATTCTCGGGGATTCCTATAAAGCCCAGGATCTTTGTTTTTATACTTTTAACACTTACATGTAAGTTATTTACTAAATTTGCAAATAAAGCCATAGTTATTATTTGTGAATTATGTACCAAGTTTGCATCATAGAAGATATATATTAATAATTGGTGGGGTTTTTTCTTTTGGCACTGCATTGTGATAGCAAAAAAAGCATTTCAACAATATATTGAAAATCTCAGGATTTTGAAACCCTTGAATCAATACAGGCTTAACAATCTCATCAAGTTAAAAAAAAATACAGTGGGTCTCATAATAGTACTGGTGGGGGAGGTAAAAATTAGTATTTGTGTAATTAGTTGGGCAATGTGAAAAATTTGGTGATACATATAATTATATTTTAGAAGTTATAATATAATTCATAGTATATTAAACCTAAGTAATTAGCTGATAAGATGAATGTTAATCTTCATTATGAAGGTATCTTCTCACATAATACTAATGGGAAGCATTTTTATATACTTTTATGTACTTTAGCTATAGAAATATATTTCAGTGGTGATAATATAATATTTGGCTATTTTAGGAAGTGGGTTTTTTTCCTTATTTAAAGCTTTTGGGGTGTTCTAATTCTTTTGGGCACATAAGCACTAGGAAAAAATCTATTTTATTTATTTAAAAGTATTTTTATGTAAGAGAATTGCTGGATGCAGTGTGTCCAGGAGAGGGCTCTGGAAAACAGCCTGGAAAGTTCTATTTTAGCTTTGTCAGAGTGGAATCTCATATATTTTCTCCAAGCTTTACAATTCTAGATGACAAACCAAATACACTCAAGATGCATAAAGATGCACATGTGAATTTGAAAGTCTTTTCCCCATGTATCACACCCAACTTTAGGAAGAAAAAACTTACCTTGTTGCAAACATTGCTCTCAGGGATGAGAAAGTTGCAGCATCTTCTTTCAAAGCCTTCAGTTCATTCCTAAGCTTCGTCATGGTTTCAGTCACCATTGCTTTTTCATTTTCATATTTGTTCTTGAGATTAGCTAGCGCCACCTCAGCTGTCTGAAGCAGAAAATCACACTGCTTATGATTTTCATATCAGAAACATCTATCATACAGATTTCTTCATGCTGGGTCTATTATGTTCTTTCATAAATGGAAAGTGAAATTGATTTGGTTAAATTTCATATGAACATGTGCATACTTTAAATACAGGGAAGTTTTTCTTTAATGTCAAGATGTGTTATGAATCCACAATGTGGCTAAATTGCCCTAGAAGCCAGCTGTGAGCTAGAGTCAGTATTGGGAGCTAAAGGAATGATAGTAGTTCAATAAGTATTTAATGCAGGTTGTTGAAGATATGAGACTTTAAGACAACGAGGAAGCCAAAATGAAACTTTATCTGAGAAGAGTTTCATTAACAAGTTAGTAAAGAAGCACAGCTTCCAACTGGAAAATGTTAGAACTCAAATACTGTTATGTCACCTGTGCTCTGTGGGCTTGAAACATAGAACAAGACTTAGACCATTGTCATTTATAACACGAGTATATAATAAACTACAAATCCATGTTATTATATGTTTAAGGAAAAGAAGTGACAAATAACTAATCATTTTCTAAGTCTTTGCATACAATTTATTCAAAACAATGAATTACAGTCAAATTTAATTCTTTAAAATCTCCATAAAAGCAGAGATTCCCAAATGTTGAATGAGCTGAAATATTTGTTTGAATTTGGGATTTGGGTATGTCTGAAGTTACTGGAATTAATAGTGTTTCAAATAAAGAGCTAGCCTGGCACATAGTAGGAAGTAAAAAAAACACACTGACTGAACCAATGCATAAAATCTGCATATATTTAGGGACTGCCTGTTTGATGCATAGGCACGTGGTATGCATATTGAAGCCAAATTAGAAACACATTATTTTTACAAACTGTAAACTACAGCTTTTTGGAGTGTGAAAAATATCCAAACTAATGAAAAAGTCCATTGCTAGTAAAGAAATCAATTACTAACGGGATTTCCCAGGAAGACTACCCTGGTTTTTAACATTTCTTTTTTTGTTTGAAAGGAACAACTTCAAATTTCATATGCAAAGTGCCAACTTCTATAGAGATAATTTTTTTTCTTTTATTAAACCAGTGTTGGGATGGGGTAGTTTGTTAATATTTTGATTCCAAAGTGGCTTCTTATTAGTTTTGATTGAATTTAAGTTTAGATTAAAATGATAAGTTACTCATAAAATACTTCTGTATGTTCTGCAGTGTTAATACTTGGTAGAATCTTCAGAAATATTATAGATTCAGAAAGTTATCCAGAATGCAGAAACTGACCTGCGGAAAAATGGCAGTTGTTTAGTTTTTAAAAAGTTTAGATACATATTCATCTAAAACAGGTAACTAAGTTTAAATTGTGAAATGTAGATGTAACAACTTCGTAAGCACATAGAGTCTCAAAGTCAGTATTCAAGGGGAGGGAAGGGAAGGATAAAAGAAGAGCTAGATCTGGAACATAAGTACAAACTCATTTACTATTTCTGAGAAATGGACAAAAAAAAGACTCAGCTTTGTTTGCCCGTAGACTGTGTGAAGCTTTTCCAGAATGAAGTAATTTTATGTATCTATATCATTAGATTTGCTAGTATCATTCACCACATTTTCCACACACTCCAAAGTTGACTTTCTAAATAAAAAAAATCTTTTTTCTAGCCATACAAAACTTCACAAGCATTCCCTAAACATATCACTGTATTTTGTCACTCCTGTGCCTCTCTACCTACTGCTCTTTTTTTTTTTTTTTTTTTTAGACAGAGTCTCACTCTATTGCCCGAGCTGGAGTGCTGTGGCGTCAGCCTAGCTCACAGCAACCTCAAACTCCTGGGCTCAAGCGATCCTCCTGCCTCAGCCTCCCAAGCAGCTGAGACTACAGGCATGCGCCACCATGCCCGGCTAAATTTTTCTATTTTTGGTAGAAATGGGGGTCCTGAAACTCCTGAGCTCAAGCGATCCCACCCCCGTCCCCCCACCAACCACCATCACCCTGCCTCGGCCTCCCAGACTGCTGGGTTGAGCTACTGTACCTGGCCTCTACCTACTGTTCTTTCTGCCCCAAATTATCTCTTCCTCCTCTGGAAAACAACTCCTTACCCTTCAAGAACAAACCCAAGCATAATTACTTCTGTGAAGTTTTTTCCAACTTCTCTAGGAAACATTAGTTGCTTCCTCTGCAATGTTCCTGTAACTTGGATTACAGTAAGTATCACATCAAATTTTAATTATCTGTTTGTATTCTGACATCCCCAGGAGGCTGTGAGTCCTCTTCTGGAAGGCAGGAATCATGTGTCAGTCTTTTTTAAATCTTCAGTACCTAGCACAGGTTAGTACATAAATGGTTTTTCATAAATATTTACTTACTTCGTCACAAGGCACCACATCTATGAAAAAATCCTAAAGTGTATTAAAAAATTTACAGAGAATACAGAATGCCTATTTTAAAGCAGAGAAATTATCTTTTTTGCTTTTTTACCACAGAAGTCTCACCTTAGTCTTAATAATGAACATTCCACAATGTCTAAATATAGTGGATACCATCTGTCGATACTTGAAGCTATTTAAGGCACAAAAGCATGTCAGCAAGAGGCCCAACATCATTAAAATGTATACCAAATGCACAGCTAGAAATGTATTTTCATTTAATTATTAATGAAATTAATAAATGTAATTTCATTTCATTGCTGAGCCCATGTGGGCTGTGACTTGAATGCAAATGGTACAGGTTGAACATCCCTAATCCGAAAATCCAAAATCTGAAATGCTCCAAAACTCGAAATTTTTGAGTGCCAACATGATGCCACAAGTGGAAAATTCCACACCGGACGGCATGTGACAAGTTGCAGTCAAAACTTTGTTTCAGGCATAAAATTATTAAAAATATTGTATAAAATTACCTCACAGCTATGCGTATATGTATATATGAAATAAATGAATTTCATGTGTAGACTTGGATCCCATCCCCGTATCCATTATTTATATGTAAATATTCCAAAATAAAAAAAATCCAAAATCTGAAACACTTCTGGTCCCAAGCATTTTGGATAAGGGATAATAACCTGTACCAGAAAGCACTGTGAAAATAAAACTTCAGCTAGGAATGCTTTGTTCTACTCTGAATTCCTATGGCACTGTTTAGACCACTCTAAAGTGCTTGATTTGTCCTATCCTATAAGTTCTAGGCATGTGTTGAATTCCTGCTAGATTACTAGTCACTTAGTTTTGCATCCCAACTTACCACCTCCCATGAAATATATAATCAATCAATGCTTGTTCACAAATTAGTCTTTCTTGGTTGATCAACCATTCTTATCTACACCTCTGTTTCAGTTAAGCATCTTGACATTTTTATAGATCTAGTTTTCTAGGTTGTTAATATTCAACCTTCAGGAAGAAGTTAGAGAAGTTATCTGAATGGCTTGACCAAGAATGTCTGAGGATATCATGTCCTTGATAAAGGCTGTGTAAGCCTTATCTGATATGGCATTGGTTATTTATGAACACTCTAAATCACTGGGTCTTTGCATTACAGCAGTAGCAAATTCCTTTATTCTAACCTCAAATTGGAGTCAGATCTCTCAAAAATTCTTCATTCACCCTAATCTTTTCTATTTCCCTAAAGTGAAGGCATAAAATAAAGTCCTATTTTGCCCTTAGGTTTATGTAAAACCTGTTTATAGTGCAAACAATATTATTGATTATGGTACAGATGCTCATTTACATCAATGGATTTATGGGAACTAATGATGAACACTAGAAAGCTGTATTGTAGATGACATAATAATAGTGTGGTTTCCCCCAGATTAAGGCAATAGGAGAAGGTGCTCTGAATCTAAAATTAACCCTCATTTCCCAAAGAGCAAGAGCTCCAATGCCATACTATTCATTGGCACTGCTTGCATTTGCAAGCTGGTATTTGATGCCTTATTGCTTCTCTCTATCAAGATCAACATTTATTCAGCACCCTTCTCAGTTATGTGTCTTTAACAGCTATTTTTTCAGGTAAACTAAACAGAAGTTAAAGTATTTTCTTGTCTGTATTTCACAGCATTCTCACCCAGGTAAAACTCAAGGGTGCAAAACAAGTTCAGTCTTCAAGGAGATCTGGCAATTAGTCAGGTAGGTTCATGTTATACCATGATACTTATCCCAAAAGGACAAGATCTACGGTTAAGAAAAGCTCCCTATTGCTTAAGCTCTGACCCGGGTGAATTAACACCCCAATGGAACCTAAATAATTTCACATATGTGGTCACTGGCAGAGTTAGACCTCATTCTCATATTCTCATTCTCTCATTCTCTCTCTCTCTCTCTCTCTCTCTCTCTCAGTCATTTGCTTGCTAATGTGGCTCCAAACTACAGGGTGTCCCAAAAGTCGCCATACATATGGAAAATGAGAAATTATAGCTAAATGTACCTTTATTTACAAAATATTCATTATGAAATTTTACGAAATTTTTCCTTTGTATGGAGACTTTTGGGACACCCTATATTTAATTTGTTGGTAACAATCTGCCTGGCTTTGTTTATATCACTCAGTTCCCACAGCTATCTTGTCCTTCGTCCCTGAGTCCGACTTAATCATATATCTAGTACTCTTGTTTCTCTAAGTCTGGCATGAAGGACAAGACACCCCTTTTCTATCTTGCTACACCCTAGAAACCAAACCAAACCAACCAGTCTTGAACATGAACCCCCAGTCCCAAAGCTGGGGTCTGGTTATGGCTATCAGACCTCCTTCACCCTGTCTGCACCCAGACTCCCCTCTGTTTGCTCGGGCTGCCTGCCGGGTGTCTGTCTGTCTTGCTTTGTCTCCCTGGTTGATGGAAGCTTCCTTGCCAGCCTGTTCTGCCACCCTCTATCTCCTGTTTCCACACTCCCTGACCGCCAGGCTTCGGCTTAGCCCCTGCCTGACCTGCCTTCCGTATCGGCAAATGCATCTTCTCCTCTGTTCCTGCTTTAACTTCCTCACCACTGCCTTCACATAGGTGGGTATAGCTATCCTCCTACTTCATTCATTCACTCATTTAAAAATCATTATTATTACTTCCTGATCTGGCACCAGGACAGTTTGTTTTATTCCACCACTGACCAAGTATCTGAACTCTCATCTTGATATTGGGTACTGAAAAATATTAAGGAATAAATTAGTTCAGAAAGCTTTGACTAGCACGCTTTCATCAGTAAAATAGGATTACCTGTTTGTTGGCTTTCAGCACTGCCCTCAGTGTGGCGATCTGCTCCCGTTTGGTGCTCAGCAGGGACTTCAGCTTGAGGATCTCTTCCATTAAGGCTTCCTTGTCTTTGTCGATCATGGGGGCCAGCTCCCGTGCCGCTGCTCTTTGACGAGACAGTTGCAAGGACCGGTCCACAGCTTTCTGCAGATGCTTGATTTGGTCCCGGATTATGGCATTAAGGTTGTAAATGTTCATTGGCTCTTTGCGGATGTCACTCGTGTCCAATACTGGAGATGACGGTGGGGCAGTAATAACAGGAGAGATTGTGGGAGTCTTAGTTGGACTTGGTTCTTTGCTGGCCTCTGTATTTTCTTTTGCAACTGGTTCAGATGAGGTCCTTGTTTCTACTGGGGATGACACTGGGGATGACACACCCCGCCTGGCTAATCGTGGGGACAAAAGTCCCCTGGGATCATCAGGCCCTTTCAGGCTGCCACTGCGGGTGACTCTGCTTTGCCTATAGTAGTCTAGCATGACCCTGTTGGGAGTTTCATTATTACACAGACATACATGGTGGTAAAGCTGAGCTAACTCCTCACTAAATGTCACTAACTCATCCTGGGCCGTGTTAAGGGTGTTGTGATTTTCGTTAGCTATGCCGGTCATCTTCTGCAGCTCCTTCTCCATGTGGGCCATCTTCTCACCACTCTCCTTGGTGGTCTTCTCAAGGCTGGTCACCTGCTCATCATACATTTGGATCTTACTCTCATACTTGGCCTTCTCTTCAGTATAGTTTTCCACAGATTTATTATATTTCTCCTTCAAGGCCTTAATTTCAGCTTTCAAATCGATCACCTCAGTAACCGCCACCCTGTATTTGCACTCAAGGATCTCTAAGCCGTTGATGTCCACCTCATAGTCGTGAGCCTCCTCCCCCGAGTCCCGGCCCTTCTCCCCGTCCAGCTCGGCCTTGAGCTCCTTGCTGCTCTGCAAGCCCCTCATGGCATTGACGTGCTCGGTGAGCCGGTGCACCCGCTCGTGCTGCTCCGTCAGCGCCCCCTTGGTGTGTTCCAGCTGCGTCTGTGACTCCTGGAGGTTGGCCAGAAGAATGGCCTTTTCCCGCTCTACCTGCAAAGGCAAAAGAAAGTCTCTGAATGACTTCAATGGGATGCCAGTGGTAATGTAATCCATTCACAGCTGGGCATGTATACATTTAAAATCACTGCAGCAGAGCTGATGTTTCCATTATTTCAAATTAAATTGCAGTATGTTTTCTTATTTCAGCAGTTCTGGTAAGTCAATCTAGAAGTACATAATTCTAAAAGAATTACACCGTGAGTAGTTTTGCATCCAAACTCTCTTGCATTATGCACATATACTCATGAAACTTAAATGTTATTCAAACAATCTCATTTTCATCTTTTAACACCTTGCAGAAAACAACATGACTTTAAGAGATAAGCACAGTACTTGGTGTTTCTTTACTTTGAGAGCCTTAGAGTACTTCTGCTCCTCAGATCATGTGGGATAAGTCTCAATGTGCCTATGAATCGATCATCCCTTCCTTCCCAGAGCTCAACTCCAAATCAGGTTTAAACCCCAAGGCTTTAACTAAATAATGCTGAGTACCTTAACCCATTTAATCCCCAAAATAAACATGCACTAAATTTGATAGTTTTTAATATAAAAGTCAGAAAATATAGAGTTTTAGGGCTAAAAGTACAATTTACGAATCATTTCAATTCCTTTGATACAAAACAGAAACTTTTAAAATTAGTAATTACTTTAAATAATGTGACAGTTTTATTATTATTAATATATAGGTGATGACTATTACTGTGTGATGAAAACTACTCAGGTCTCCATATAAAATACTGTCTCGTTAAACGTAGGTATGTAAGAAATTGTAATCTGAGAATTTTTTTTTTTTTTTTGAGACAGAGTCTCACTGTGTTGCCCAGGCTAGAGTGCCGTGGTGTCATCCTAGCTCACAGCAACCTCAAACTCCTGGGCTCAAGCGATCCTTCTGCCTCAGCCTCCCGAGTAGCTGGGACTACAGGCATGCGCCACCATGCCCGGCTAATTTTTTCTATGTATTTTTAGCTGTCCAATTAATTTCTTTCTATTTTTAGTAGAGACGGGGTGTCGCTCTTGCTCAGGCTGGTTTCGAACTCCTGAGCTCAGACAATCCGCCTGCCTCGGCCTCCCAGAGAGCTAGGATTACAGGCGTGAGCCACCGCGCCCAGCCTAATCTGAGAATTTTTTAAAGCATTTTCTCTCCTTCCATATGGGTAACTGATATTATGAATTAGGAGTTTTAACATATTTATAATGTAAATGTGTTTTTTAACAAGCAAATAATATTGTGTATATTTTCATTATATAAGAGGTATTATGTTGTTCATATCCTTGTGTACTTGCTTTTTCTTTTCTTCTTATATTTCTAATAAACACCATGAGACCTGCTTTAAGGACAATGGATTGATGTTGAATGTCTTTACATCTAAAGGAAGGTATCAATTCAAACTTTCAAACTTCCTGGATCATACATTAAATCCTTTCAAAGTCTTCTAAATTCCTAGAAGGCAAGTAAAATTATTATAATTAGAATATGACTAATATTTTTAAATTAGCATATTACTTTTCGATATATGTGTATATATGTAAACTTATAATACGGTAGAGTAGTATTTTTATGATCCTTTGTGGAGCTTGATGTCCTTCATTTAACTGTCATGTGCAGACAGTCCTTATTTGTCAAGGTTCTAATACGCATAGTTAAAACACCAGTCCCCTCAAACATGGTTCAAATTTCAGTTACCAGATATATTAATTGTGAGCAACGCAGGAAGTACAATCTTTGCTGCGAGCTCTTTAGTCGACAGAATCACTACCTAACATCATGACTAATGGCTGATCACATCACTTACTCAACATCTGCAGTGACTGCTCACTCTGTGTCTGCTATTCAGTTGACTCACAGACAAAAAAGTATGTAGTTGTGTTGTCTTCCTGTCTCCTAGTGATAAACCCATATGATGTTTTACAAAAATGGATTAAAACAAAAAAACAAAGTGTAGCAAAGAAGCAAAGAGTAACCGAGCTGGAGTGAGATTTGAACCAAACATAAATGAAGTTATGAAAGAAATAGCTTTCTTTCATGGGAATGTTGACACTGATGCTGTTTGAGGGACTTTAGATATGCAGCCAAAGGAACCTGGTGGAGGCAAATTTATCAACATAATTGGAAAAACTACAGAAGTTGTTTCAAAAAGGATGAAAATGTCCCAGAGGAAGTGATGCTGGCACATTAAAGGTACTCTCAGAGATATTTCTAGACATCGAAAGTGCAGAGGATAAAATTTTGGAAGCTGTTTCAGACTTAGAAGTGAGGATGACAATTTGCCAAGACATAAAAAACTTCCTGCTGAATGTCATAAATAATATGATGAAAGGAAGGCAAGATTAAACTACTCCTGATAAATTTTTACAAAGAAATAAAATGTAAACTCAATGTTTTTAATATTTTAAATACAATGTACTAAGTAGTTTCACTATTTTGTTCATTTCTCTATACGTTTATAACCAACAGTAAGTTTTCAGTGTTTGACAAAAAACTTCAAAGATCACAAAACAATTGTAACTTTCCCCACTAATTTAGTTTGTTTTGCATGGTTTTATCTTGCATGATCATTTTTACCGCCCTGCACTATTGTGTAAACCAAGGACTGCCAATATAATATCATCGCACATATTAGAACTTAAAATATAGTTTTGGTATTTCAAATTATTATTTAGAGACTTTTAAGTTGTGACTTTGATTTTATGACATAGTGCTTGTCCATATCTATGACAGGAACATAATCCACAAATTACATATTATGGCTGCAGAAACCAAAATATTCCCAAAGAATAGTTATTGTAAGTAAAGAATTAAGGCTGTGGCATCAGAGTACCATGGGGTCAAATCTTGAGACCAGCATTTACTCAGCTATATGATACTGAGCAAGCGTCGGTATAGTGATCTATAAAAGGAACATCATAATACCTGCCTCATGGGAACATTTTGATAACTAAGTGAGACAGTGAACTTAATGCTGAAGGTATTATAATGTTGGCTATTGTTAACAATTGCTTAGCTGTGGCTCAATTCCCATGACCAAAATGCTTCTACATGACAAACATATCTGCTTTTCACAAATTTGTATCTGCATGTATAAAAGCACTCTTTCATTTCAGAGCAAGGCTATATTTGAATACAAATTCTCTTAACTGACTTTTGTTAGTTTATAACAAATTGTATCTCCCTAGGTGAAGATGAATTTACTTACCCAGACTATTGGGCAATAATTCTCAGTGAAAAACCCAAGGAATTATGTAATACAGTATTTCATGAATAGCCAAGTTATTTGAATTTTTCATAAAGGAGATGGAAAATCTACTAGATATTCTAATGTTGCCATTATATTCAATCTCATGAAAATGGATTATTTCAGACGTCTTTTTTTCTTTTTCCCTAGAAAATTAAGTAAATTTGCTCTAAAACGTCTAAACATTATTTAATTAGAAGACATGATTACAGATACAGCTGTTTCCAAAAAGCCCTTCAATAGAAAAAGCCTTTAGATAAAATAAAAATTGGATCAGAACAAAATGCACAGACTGTGTCTGAAGCTTGTTTTAGAGGCAAAAGTGTTATGATGAATGAGGCAATGCCTTTAGAACAGTATTCAATCTGTACTCTGCCAATTCAGATTTAACATAAACATTTTCTAAGCCTAGAAAGATAAATCTACAGGCCGGGCGCGGTGGCTCATGCCTGTAAATCCTAGCTCTCCGGGAGGCCGAGGCGGGCGGATTGTTCGAGCTCAGGAGTTCGAAACCAGCCTAAGCAAGAGCGAGACCCCGTCTCTACTAAAAATAGAAAGAAATTAATTGGACAACTAAAAATACATAGAAAAAATTAGCCGGGCATGGCGGCGCATGCCTGTAGTCCCAGCTACTCGGGAGGCTGAGGCAGGAGGATGGCTTGAGCCCAGGAGTTTGAGGTTGCTGTGAGCTAGGCTGATGCCACGGCACTCTAGCCCGGGAAACAAAGTGAGACTCTGTCTCAAAAAAAAAAAAGATAAATCTACAGTTTCTCCATGACAGCATCTCCAGAAAATATCAAATAGAACATTGTCTCCTTCGTGTATGTAACCTCCATATTATGGTACTGCTTTCTATACTCAATACATTTCTGGTGAAATCAATTGAATAGGGAATCATATCCAAATTATATATATACACACATATATGTATATGTAATATACATATATAAATATATTTTTCTCCTAGACAACTAAGTTTGGTCTGACAAAAAATTACTAAATTACATATAATTTTATAAAACTCCAACATTATATTTTCAGTCAGCTATTAAGGCTTACAGTACCTTAAGCTGTCTTTGGGTATCAAAGAGCAGGTGCTTAACTGTTTAAGATTCATTGTACTTTGAACAAATAAGTACAAAGCACTTTAAAGCTTTAAATGACTTTAGATTTTAAGTGTTACTATCTTAATCTCCATTCGTAAAGAATTTATCCAGGAGAAACATGATGAGTTAATTATAATCTTCTATAGTGACTAAGAATAGCTGCCTCATTTCTCTTCCTATAATCTTTATCTTCTATCTGGAACCGGGAATTTTATTTTTTCACAGTAGGGCTAGCTGTTTTGCCAGAAAACTTTAATGCAGTATTTGTAAACTGTTTAGTCTAATCATTTTTAACTTCACTGACTTTTTACCTTTTAAATAAACATATTTATATGTATTGAGGATTGATAGATTCTTCTGTGAAGGAACAAAAGAAAAGATCATCATCAGAATTAGCACATTTATATTAGGACTTCTAAAGCAAAAGGAATCAAAGCTGTTTTATAAGCTATCAATGTTCATAGCCTTGTTTTTAACATTGTAAAAGGATGAATTTTATTGTACATAAATTATATCTCAAGAAAGCTGCTATTTTTTACCTGACAAATAATAACTGTATATATTTATGGGGTACAATGTGATTGTAGGATGATTAAATCAGGTTAATTAACATATCCATCACCTCACATACTTATCCTTTTCCTTTATGGTG